TCTCGTTCTCATGTTCTACTCGTTCATCATTTGGATTTTTTTCATTAATCCTTTTTTGTAATTTTTATTTTCTCATTTGACAATGTAACAGTCGATGAATGAAAAAAGTCCTATGAAAAAGAGTGAAGTCCTATGAAAAAGTTTATACATAACCAGGAAGAAGAGTAACCAACCAACACTATGCTACCTTTATTATGCAGAGATAAATTGTAAGCCGATCATGGAGTAAGCAGGTGATTTTCCTGCTGCTATCGAATCGTAGTAGGAATGTGGCTTTATGGGAAATGATAGTAGCGCTACAAAATAAACTACTTGGGCGAAGTAACCGTAGTCAACTCATCTTGAAAACATCCTTAGTATTACACTAAAGCGGTTATTTAGTGCGAAACTATGTGAAATGGTCCACCGCCGGGTGGACCAGTTGTGCGTCCGTCAACGGTTCTGTAGGTGTACGAGACACCGTTGACGATAATCGTGAACACGTCCACTTGTTGACCGTTGGCGTCAGTATAGCTGGACGAGGAGCTAGAGACGGAACTGCTCGCAGGGAAAGTGGCCGTGTAAGGTCGACCACCAATAGTTGCCACGGCCGTCGTAACTCCATTTGCAGTACTGATACTTACTGAACTACCTGAAGACGAACTGCTTCCGCTAGCACCTTGTTGAAACTGCCCGGCTGAATTTGGTCCCCAGTCGGGGTCGAACGCACCGCTCTGGAAATTATATATGTATGAGCAGAGCGTTAAGAAGAGCAAAAATAGTAGTGGTCTTTTGAACTCACCTGAAACGTACCCTGCGGGAATGAAGCTCCGACCGAAACTGCTCCCATTGGTTCCACTGAAAAGGATACGGATGGCAGATTCATGGCAGGAGGATAACATGCAATAGTCATACCTGAGATTCAACAAGCGTGCTGAATAAGAAGAGCAGACCAAGTGCAGTAGCGCAGAACATTTTCTGCTGAAAAAGTCAGGTTGTGAGGATGTTCCTGTGTTTTTCCGGTGTTTTTGTGGATCGATGTGAATAGCGTTAAATCGTAGTAGTCAGAGACAAGTGATCGGTACGATACGCTGGCATAA